ATCCACATATTTTTATAACATTTTTCCTAAAGAGAATACTGCTTATGTTATTGCCCATGACCTTTACCATCATAAATAAACCAAGTTTGTTGTTTGGGGTTTTTGGAGGTTTTTTTAAGAAAATAAACTTACCTCTTAAAATAGCCTTATTTATTTATTGATGTATTCAGCTTCTGGGTTGTTTATTAATGGGGCAGCAGTCAGTAAAGCCAGAAGTGGATACAAATTGCGAGGGTTGTCTTCCTCTTTAAGCTCCGCTGGCTCTCACTCCTGAATCTTAAATGCAGAGAAGGGGCAGAGTCCACCCAAAATGAATGCACATTTTTGGACTTCACTGATCCATGAGCAAATTAAACTTTGTTTCTTCTCTATTAGTAGACGTTTATGTTTTCCCCTGGTTAAGACCAGACTGAACTTGTTTTCCATGTAAAATAATTACAGTAGACAGTCACAAATGGCTCCGTAATTTTTTTAAATTGAATTATTGTTATTTTTCAAGCCAGCACTTTGCGGTGGCGAATAGTCATCTGCTTCCTTGTGGGTGCACTGCATTGCCAAGGTATTGCAGGCTGCATTTCCCCAGGCTCCGCGAATGCACAAAATGACCCTTCTTTGCTCACAAAGGAACTTTTACAATCTGTTCAAAGCTTCCACTACAGCAGGTAGTTAGAGCTGCCACACCTAACGAATACCATGACAAATATTTATTGGCACAAAGTAATGCATTTCCTCTCTAAAACTTGGCCTTCTGCACCTTCAAAGTGTTGCAGGGCTGTTTGTTTAATTCTCTCCCTGTCAAGCATGTCTCCTCTCCAGTTGATGGAGGTGGAAAGTCAGAGGTCCCTTTTGGGAAGGCAAAGAGCACGTTAGACTGCATCTGGGAAAGCACCTGAGTTGTAGGCACACCAGGTGCCCCATGAGTCTGTGTGGTTGACTAATACGAGCATCAGAGTCTTTTCCTTGGCTTGAGGACTGACGCTCTTCGTTCCCCGTCTTTCATGACACATCCTGTACAGTACCTGCCACAGGTATCATAAAGGTAAAAGGCTTTTGTGTTGCGTATAACATGCTGTGAAACCACACCGGTGGCATGTCCTAACCCCAGTGTTTGCTTTTGCATCTGCAGTATTACTTATTTAAGGTAGCTTTTGTGCAGAATACTGTTTGTAATAAATATGAAGAGTTTTATCTATAATAGTCACGCCTGCTTGACATCGCAGGAAGGGTAGGCCCCAAAAGTTTGCAAAGGTTGATCTAACTTTGTTTCCATTTTTGATACCAAAAACCCAATTTTTAAGAACTGTTGAATCGTCTCAGCTTCTATTGATTTTGTTTCGATTTCAGAGACACAGAAAAATCAGACTCAGAAAAATTGGACGCTCAAAATTAGAGAGCTTTTGTGGTTTTTTAAGTTCCCTTGCATAAATAGCTGACTTTAAGTCAATTTCTGATAAGGGAATAGGACTCAAGTCTTTCAACTTATTTCATCATAAGCTAATCAGCACCTAATAGTGGCTTGTTTTGAGAAAGTCTTAACCTTTCTTTTTTTTATGAACTCTTTGAAAGCCAAATTCAGCTCAACTTTCTATTTCAGACTGTTAAAGGAAGTGAATAATTTGTAAAACTCTGCTGAGAAGGAGGTTGGAAATAATGCCAAAAAAGGTTAGAGTTCTTTTGTGTAAAATGGTAACACAGCTCCTCCTTCTGTATCGTTTTGGCCTGCTTTGCCGCAAAATATATCTGAAATAAAATGAGATCCAGAGAGGTGGAACAAAAAGTTTTGGAGTCAAAAAGCAATTTCCACATGAGTAAATTAGAGGTAGTAAGATGTCTCAGATTCTAAAGAAGGAGAAGCTTAAGAAAAAATATACAGTCGGTATATGCAATTAATTAGCAATGTACTTGAATTTACCAAGTTTTGTGTTCATCTGACTAGCTCAACTTTAGAACCAGATTAATGTTATTAATGTTAATTTTAGAACTTTTTATATTGGATATTTAAAGATCCATCTAGCACAGTGTTAGAATTAGATTGTATCCACTAAATTAGGTGGCAAGCCACAAACGTTTACTGGTACAAGTTTGTTTTCCAGCACTATATTGAATTTGTCTTTCAGTGTCTTCTCAACCTCTTCATCTGTAAGAGTTGTGATCTGCACCAGGTCCATGTCCTCCATGTAGTTATACTTCATCTCAGTGAAGGTCCATCCAACTAAGGCATAAAGCCCTTCAGTGGTCTGGAGACTGCAGATTGACTTCTTCTGAAGTATGGTATCTGGAGACACTTGTAGGTATGTGTTTAGCTCCTGAAAGTCATTTATATGTCGTGGCTCGAGAGTGAATGTATATATTTTTCTGATATTCCCCAGTTCTGGAGTATCAGTGAAAGGGACACTTTGCTCCGGAATATAATGCTTCCGTTTGACTTTCTCGAAGTACCAGGTGCCGTTGTCTTCCATGAAGCGGAAGGTGCCGGGCACCTGGGGTTGATCTTTCCCAGAAATCAACATCAGTGGCTGCCATGCCTGGTAGGCACCGCCAAAACCAGCATCTACTATGTAGGAATTTCCCTTGATCACCACCTTCAGTAGGATGTGATTTATCTCAGTAGTGTACGCCCTCTCTGCTGGTTCATAACTATTTCCTCCAAGAATACAGACGTCATACCCTAATTCTTGCAAGGCCCAAAATAAAAGGTGGTTGCTTTCCAGGCACCATCCACCACGTTTCTTTCTCACAATCTTATTGTAAGTAGATTGTAAATCCAGTCTGATGGTCTCCCCGCAATGCATGCTGAGGTTTTCAAAAGGAATTGCCTGGATGTGATGCTGGAAGATGACTGTTAAGGCTTGCAAGTCTGCATCCTTATGGGACTCATTGTAAGAAATTCTTGTGAAATACTCTTGAATGTTCATTTTGCCTGTGTGAGCAGAAAAATAGCCAGTTACTGTTGTGTGGCTGTCAAGGGGTTCGCTCCTATTTCTGTAGCACAGGTTAACCAGCCTGCAAATGTAGCCTAGGCCATTTTATTGAGGATTTGAAAGAAACCTGTGCCCTTGATAGGAGACGAATGCAGGCTAGACCTGCCTGTGTCATCTGCGTTTCTTAAAAAAAGAGATGAGGATAGGAGCAGGTGACAATAACGCTTTCTCTCTCTCAGATGTTGCCTTCAACCCAGATGGATGTCTTTCCTATGGGAAGACACGGCACGTGGCACAACAGAATCTCTGGCCCCAAATGGGGGTTCCACATGACAAAAAAATTTATAAAACTGACAAACAACAGGTTTGCAGAAAAGCTGCTAGACCATACCAACATAAAAGTCACAGCAATTTCTTGCTGTTTCTTTTACTGTAACAGGTAAGCAATTCTTTATTTATCCCACAGGTAATTCAACTGGAAGGTTTTACATTCATGGCTTCAGCTAACTGGGATTAACATCTCAGCGTGTCACCATTTTAGACAGGCTTCCATGTGAAGTAGATTGTTGTTTTCTTAATCTTTTTAGTTTCCCTATGGAGTTCAGACAGATCTTTGACCCTGGCTGTTGAAAGGAAAGAACTGTTAATTTTTCTAACCTAAGGGTCAGAGGAATTGATAATTACTAAGAATACATTCAAGGCGTATTCATTGGCTTTTGGGTTTATTTACCATCTTTTACAAACCAAAGGCCTCAGTTTCAGCTCAGATTATTGGATATATTTTGTGTCTTCATGTTTCTGATCCCCTTTCGTTAGCATAAAGACACTGTCATTGGTACTGGCTGCGTGGCCAAGATGCAAAAAAGTATAACACTTCTAATCCACTGACTCATCTGGTACCTGCAAGGATTTCTTTTGCCTTTAATTTAGTTTTAATTTGGCTTTTTTCCATGCAAGGATATTTGTTTTCCAGAACGATTCACAGTCTGCTAAGGACTGTATTCATTTCCAAAAGGTCTGAGGATTTCTTGCTCCTTGAAATCGGTCGCACGTTCCCTGGGAGGATTTTCCAAAAATCATTTGATGTAGATGAGATGGGAGAGATTATCTTCCAGAGACTATTCTCAGCTTTGGTCCAGCTGCTCCCCTAGCAGTGACCAGCAGTTTGACCCGATGTCCATGCCAGCACTCAAGTGAGTGCTGGGAGCTTTTGAAAATCCCACCTCAAATACATAGGTGGAAATACCCCCGCCCCAGCAGGTGAGCACATCAGATGACCTAATCTCTAGACTTTAACCCCAATTTTGATGCCAGCAGCGCAACTCACTTGACTTAGTTGTATTGCTCCTGATCTGCACTGGTACGGGGATTCAGACCGGCTGATGGAAAAACACGAGAAAATGTAACAAAATAGAGGACTATCTCAATAAGGGAATAAGAAATAAACATTTTCACTTCAAAAGAACCCAAAGAGGCTACATGAAAAAACAGTAATGTGTCTTTGATACTGCATTTTATGTTTTTTTCCATCGCTTTTTTAGGACAAGGGCACTCATCTCTGGCAGGATCTCCTTGGAAACGCTGGTTGTAGAAAGCCATTCCCTCCCCAACAGACAGCGCACATGTCTGCTGGCAAGCTCATCCTGTGGTCTTCTGCCTCATTTTTCTTTTTATTCCCACTTTTAGCTGTTTTGCATAGGCAGACAGAAACATCTTTTCCCTGCGACGGTGTCGAGCTGAACCTCTGTGACGGGGGGGGTTTTTTGGGAAGCAAGTCTGTTAGCCTGGTGGGTCTGATAAGCTTGAAATTTGCTTTCAAGCAGAAACCTACCAGTCCCTGCTCTGGGCCAGCAGCAGAAGAGCTGATGCTCTCCCTATAACCTGTCCTCTGGGTCTGGGTGTCCCCATTGCCCCGTCAAGAGTGCAGCATATAACCAGCTCCCCTCTTCCAGCCATGAGCAACTTCCCCATCGAAAGCCTCCATGGGGTGCTGGCAATGAGGCTTCGGGAAAACATATTTTGGGAAATTTGCAGCCCGTTCCTCAGTTTCCCCAGCTGCCCCTTCTCTGGCCTTATCAATTTAAAGTCTGTATAGTAGAGACAGCCTCATCGTGGCTGACAAAATGGACTCTGATCTCAATGAATACTTAAAGAGGTTTAAGTATAATAAAGCTAAAGCTAATAAACTAGCGTTTACTCCCTTGCCTTCCCGGAGGCAGCTTTTCTTCTTGGCACAACTGTTTCCACCACGCTAGCGATGGGGCTGCAGCAGCGAGCAAGCCCTCGCCCAGGGGACAGTTTGCATTCCAAAGCCGGGTTGCCAAATATCTTAAGCCTCAGTCCAGATCTCAGCCTTGTTTACTTTTGCTCCCGCAGCAGGCAAGCTTCATTCAGCATCCGTGCATGTTTGCAAGAGCAGCGTGGTGGGTAGCGAGATTCAGATGTTAGTTCCGCCTGTCTGCAAGCGTCCCAGGGGATCGCTGTGTCCTTTCATAATTAGGCTGAATAGTTCTTCTCTGCTAAAATTCATGAGAGGCTTCCAAGGTTGGATCCTCTTGCACATGCCTATACCATTTGTTTGATTTTAAGCTACACTGCGAGTCAGGAGCTGGGTTTTTCATACACTCTGGCTCAGCATAAAGGGGTTAGTTTAAGTCTCGAGCGCTTGGTCTTTGTACTTGGACAATGTCCTTGCAATGCAACACATGCTGTCAGCCGTGGGGTTGCTGTAATTTATACTTTGCTAATATGCCTACAGTGCTAAGCACATGGTATGCAGACACACAGAGGTGGGCTTTTCTAAACAGGCTGCAAGATGAAGTTAAAGATCAGACACTCGGGCGCTTACCTCTCAGCCAGCGAGCTCAGACTTTCCACCCTGGTTTGCTCCAAAGTTCCCAGGAAGAGTTGTCCTGGGAACTGCTGCTCTTAAAGGTCCAGGCTGCCTTTACTGCCTGGCAAGGACAGTGTTATTCTCCAGCAGAACAGGAAAAGAGGGGAGAGAGTTTCTTCTTTTATAATATTTTATATTCTGATGGGTTTATTGGTTTATTTGTATTGACATATGTATAGAAAGCCCTGTTGTGCAATTCATTGTGTTAAGTGCTGTACAGAGAGCCTAAAAATGATCCAGTCCCCCGATTGCTTACAATATTGAGTAGATTTTAACCTCTCACGTTACTGATTGAGAACTGAAGCCCTCCAGGAATGCAAAGGAGAAATACAGTATGGGTATCGCAAGCAACCTTTGTAAGTGGTTATAACCCTGTCCTCAACCCTGCAGGTCACCCAGGTGCTTCAGTCTTTTGGGGTGCCTTGATGGTTGCACCCATGCTGAAGCAGCAAAGCAATAGTGCAAATTTTGATACAGATTTTACATTGTTGACACTCATGTGGCATGGATCCCTGTAGGAAGTGACTTATGATAGAGAGATAGTAATCCAAGCCAAGAAGTCACTGATTTATTGGTGGAACATGGCAGCTGTTGAATTAATCACACCATACTGAGCTATTCTTCGTGGCTGATACCAGACCCCCAAAGCAACAAGGTCAGATTTGCCAAGTCATTTAGCTGTCTAAATCCCCTTGGGTTCAAAGAGAAGCCCTGTCCTTCAGCAGCGAGGATGCTGCTCCCGGAGAGCGCTGTGCTCCCTGAGTCTGCTATGCCTTTAAGGATTTGCCTCCAAAGTTAGTGATAAGGAAAAAGCAAACTAGTGCAATCTGAGCTGAAAAGCCTCTTTTTTTTCCCCTTCCAAGAGAGAGCTTCGTTCGATTGCTCAGCAATAAAATCTGTTTCCGTGGGTGTGCTGAGCAGGAGGTCCAGAAGCGCCGAGCTGTGCCACGAAGCGGGCAGCAGCCAGAGCAATGGACGGGGCACACGCTCAAGGAGATGAGTCAGCTGAAAGGAAAGTGAGTTTTCCTATTATTGCTTGCCCTTCACATGCTGAATCTCTGGGGCAATGGGCATAACACCCTGCTCCTTCGCCTGAGCCTATGAAACAACCCAAAGCACGAGAAACACCCAGGCACGGGGAGAGGAACGGGCACAGCCCTTTCTAGGTGTTTCCCATGTCTGTTCCCACAAATGATGGAACTTCTTGGCTCTGCACGGACCTTCTGCCCCACACCTCTGCAAGACCTGGCTGGGCTTTTATGTCCGTCCCAATGCTCTGTCCCAGCTGCCAGGGACAGAGCCTTCCTTTCAGCTGACTCATCTCCTTGAGCGTGTGCCCCGTCCATTGCTCTGGCTGCTGCCCGCTTCGTGGCACAGCTCGGCGCTTCTGGACCTCCTGCTCAGCACACCCACGGAAACAGATTTTATTGCTGAGCAATCGAATGAAGCTGTCTCTTGGAAGGGGAAAAAAAAGAGGCTTTTCATCTCAGATTGCACTAGTTTGCTTTTTCCTTATCACTAACTTTGGAGGCAAGCCTTAGCACATACAAATAATCAGGACAACTGCAGTGATTAATGCAATTTTTTTCTTTGGGAATACAGGTTGTAATTTGGGGAAAAAACAGCTGAATACTTCTACTTCACAATTCTTGATTTTTTTATTTAATTGTAATTCACTTATATAATTTACTTAATTATAAGTGCATAGTTGTAATACTTCCATGATTTGTACATAAAGGAACATCAAGCATCATCTCAAAGGGCAAAGTGATTACATTTGAGTAATTTCTCATATTAAAAATCTTACCCTTTAGGTATCTGATTAAGATTCATCATTTCTCCTTATATCAATATAATTAGTATCACTGCAAACACATCCTCAGTAGAACAGATATGTTTCAGAAAAATAATTCTGCGCATGTGTTTGAGTTCAGCCATGACAACTAACGTGCAATAACACTCGGAGAAGAGTAGCACTCTTATGTATTCCCAGCAGTCCGCTGCTGGGTGGGAGCAAAAAAAATGCATGGGAGATACTTTCAGTTCAAAGAAATACTGCTTTTTGGTTATGCCACTGAGAGAACAGGAGTCGTGTAAAGTCTGAAACAAGGCAGAATTGTCCACTAATATTTCTCGTCATCAGTTTTAGGCCATAAATAGCCCGTCCATAAGTGTTCGCACAGTGCAGCACAGGCGTGGGACTGTCCGACTGCCGCGTGAGAGGGTGTTGTGAATGCAAGAGCAAAAAGGACAGGCTTATGGCTTAACTGTAGCAAACTCCGCACTGGTGTCTTTGTTTTTCTAGCTATTAAATTCCAAAAATAATATGGTATTCATTTAAGAGTGGGTATGATTTTCCCCACGTGGCAGCGCAAAATCATAAAGAAAGAGACATACAGCTCCGTTGCTCTGCCCTGCTACTCTGCCTGTATTTGGAAAAGCTTTTAAGAGATGAAAGGAGTAGGGAATGGGCAGAGTCTGCTTCCAGCTAAGCACAAAGAGAAGGGGAGTGATTTGATTGAGCTAGGAAGAAATTAGTTGTACCCAAACCAAAAAGAGATGCAGGAGCAGTTGTGAAAATCAATTTCTTTTCCAGATTCATGCTAATATGTTCTGCCTTACACTGGTGTAGATGGAAAGAGAAAGCTTAACCTTTAGATGCTTGTCAGAAATAGGGGGAAAGGATTGCATGTAATGCCACTGGATTGAATTATAATTGAGGCAGTGAGTTAAAACAGAGACAACCTGCTTGTATTGATGGGTACAAATTTCTTGTCTAGTGTTATATTGAATTTCTCTTTCAGTGTTTTCTCTATTTCTTCATCTGCAAGGATTCTGATTTCCACCAGATCCATATTATCCTTATAATTGTACTTTATCTCGGTGAGTTTCCACCCCACCAGAGCCCGGACACCGTCAGCGGTCTGCAGGCTGCAGATAGACTTTGTCACAAACAGAGAGTCAGGCGCTGTCTGCAGGTGAGCGTTGGGGGATCTGAACTCTTCGATGTCTCGTGGCTGAAGGGTAAAGAGATAAACCCGACGGCAAACTTCTTTTTCCACATTATGGGAAGTGGAGACGCTTTGGTTGGGAACCCACTGCTTCCTTTTCACCTTCTCGAGGTACCAGACCCCGCTCTCGTCCAGGAAGCGAAAGACCCCAGGAGTCTGCGGCTGGTCTGTCCCCGAAATCAGCTCCATTGGCTGCCACATCTGGTAGGCCATCCCAAACCCGCCGTCCACGATGTAGGACTTGTCGTCAAGCACCACTTTTAGCAGCAGATGATCGATTTCATCTGCATACGCGTCGTACTCTGGGACATAAACTTTTGATCCCAGAAGGGTGACGTCGTAGCCGAGGGTTTTCAGGACCCAAGATAAAAGGTGGTTGTTTTCCATGCACCAGCCCCCGCGTTTCTTCCTCACTATCTTGTTGTAAGTCACTTCCAGGTCCAGCTCAATGCTTTCCCCACAGTGGATGCTGAGGTTTTCAAAAGGAACCGCTCGGACGTGGTGCTGGAATATATCCGTCAAGGTAGCCAGGTCTGGCTTATCGTAGGAGCCCCGGTAAGAAATTCTGGTGAAATACTCCTTGATGTCCATGCTGCCTCTGAGAGAAGGGTGAAAAAAAAAAAATAGGTTGTGTCAGAAGTGACGGAAGGATCTTCCCCATCCCTTATAATGGGGCGCTCATCAGTATGGGCAGCCTGCTCAGAAGAGGAGCGGGATTTGACTAATGGCCCTATCAAAGGCAGCTGAGCATGAGTATTAGCGCTGAGGGAAGCCAATGGGACACTGCTGATGAGCACAAATGTTATTTTTAATTGTTTCTTTTACAGCTGTGACGAGAGTCTCCAGCTGTGCTAAGCACATTTCAGTAGAGAGTTCCTGCCCAGCAAAGCTACAAATCTCTGTAGGAAGGAACAAAAACAGTAGCAGCACTGTTTGCCCGCTAGAAATTATAGGAACTGAGACTCTCCAGATCTGAACTGCTTTACTCGTGGTTTGACTCAGCGAAGCAGAAGCAGAAAACAAACCCTCCCACTCTTGCAGAGCAATCCAGAGCCTCCTCTGCAACCAAATCTGAAATAAATCTGCCCTGCCGTGGTATTTCCTTCATTATTTAGGCAGCTTGGCACAAGCTGGTCTCACCTGCTCCTGCTCCCCGTGCTGGCGGTAGCAGACATGACTTGGAGCGCAGAAGGGTTTTTTTAGGGCAGAAAAGGCTGTTTTTTGCTGCATCTGCTGTGATCCACCTCCCCGCAGCATGGCTTAGCTCCCCGGCTCTGCTAATCTCAGCCCTACACCAGCAGCAGGAGGAAACCAAGGTTTGGGCCAAAACTACAAGTTTCCAGGGGGCCTCACATTTTCTGACATCATTTTTGGGATGCTTTTGCTCTTTCAACTCGTAGTCTCGCCAGTGGTGGGTGGCTGCCCGTGGGTAAAGGATCAGGCATCGCCCTCCCCATCCCAACTGCAGCAGAAGGGCTCAGCGGGAGGCTGTGTTTCATGAGCACGGGGGTGGAAAGCAGCTCAAGCCCTCCCAGCCCTTGATGGTAAGGAAACAAGAAAGGGATTTTGACGTAGCGCAATACTTTTGTTACTCTTCCCCAGGCACTGCTAAATTTCAGACAACTCTGAGTACAGAGCGGTGTTGTTCAGATTATTGACCCGGGAGGTCCCAAAATGTTCTCAAGCTCCTGTGTATGATTCTTAAGGAAAAATCGTAAGAAAAAGTCCAACCGTTCCAAAAGGATTAAATTCTCAGTCTGATGAAAAATGGTACACACCAAATTGCATGGGAATTTTGGAAAGATACTTTCAGTATATAAACAAAGTAATGAAAATGAAAAATTTCCGTTTGGTGTAATATCCTGGCGGAAACAGAGGGTGTCCTCATTTGGCTCCCCATATTTCCTAACCTAGAGGTCTGTAACTATTGCATCATGGCCACGGCCACGTCTCCGACACCCAACAAGCAGGCCTGAATGATCCCACATCGGGTTAAGAGCATCAGGTCCTTATTCAGGGGATTCTCTTTGTTCAGCTTTTGGCTCGTTCCCAGGCTTTTCCCCAAAGCCCCAGAACTACAACTCTCTTCATTTTTGAAAACTTGGCAGAAACTTAGTTCTTGCCGTGTGAACTTTAAACCAGCATGATCAGCAATGAGCTGGCTTTCCCTTTCTTTCTCCCTTTCTTTCACTTTGACACAGCAGGCAAAACACGTGTAGTAATTTTTACTTAAAGGGAAAACGTTCGTGTGAGGTTTTTCTGTCTGTCTGTCCATCTCTTGTGGGTGTTTATAAGGCCCTTTCAACCGTGGTATCTGAAATAAGTCAGATGGCAGGCATGCCCGATCTGCTTGAGGCTGATAGCTGAGTAAATAAAGCAGCGTATCTATTACACCGAGCGGCTGAGTGTCCCCCACTCTGCCAGTACACCATTTTCTGCTGTGTTTTGTTTTCAAACAGATTTAACTTCCTGGTCAGGGAGCGCTCAGCTACCAAGATTCGGGGTTTAAAAAAAAGGCTTACCTGGAAAACCAGTTCAACCACCAGTGTCTCTCCGGGGTTTGGGGGGGATGGTTTTAGGCTAAAGCAAGTGGCGTGGCTGGCTCTCCTTTACCTAGCGCAGACAGGGCTTGAGGACTGTCCTCCAGCTCCTCTTCAGGGGAATGTGTTTTCCCTCAACTTGCTTTCACCCGCCTCTGTCAGATTGCAAAAGCTGAAAAAAAAAAAAAAAGAAAATGCAGAAGGGTGGAGCATGAGAGCTGTAGTGAGCGAGCAAAGCCAACAGCAGTGACTCAACACGCGTGCAAAACCTGGTTGTTATTAGAGCAGAGGCTGCTTCACGTTTTCACTCGTTTCATGCTTTCTGCAGGGGCTAGCTTGGGCTGTGATGAAAAGGGTATTTTTTTTTGTTTCAGTAGCTAGCTGAATGCACTTGGGTAATATATACATTTTTTTCCCAGGTATTAGGTTACTGTTTCTTTGGAAACATGGGGAAGAAATCTTGCATGCATTCAATGAGAAGGTTTTTGCACCATTTCTGAAAAGCAGCAAGGTTTCAGCACAGTAATTTGCACCTGCAGCCCCCTTGCCCCAGTCAGCTCACACAAGAACTTCAGCGCTGCCTTTACTTAATTTGTTCTCTATGATTTACGTGCAATTTTTTATTACAGTAAATTTTATAGAATGTAAGAAAGCACTGGGACAGCAGCGTGTCTTCTTTGGTCTTTGCCCACAAGTAGCACCTGAGGATGTCGTGGTGGTGAAAATGCTATTGGCAAAGTGATGACTATGGAATGCTAACACATAGGGAGCTCCATCCTTTCGGTGTGTTTCATACTGCTTTTGTATCTACAAATTTTGCTTTCATTTTGCCAAGCTAAGTCTTATTAATTCTCTCATATATATAGCTGGATCCTTTCTTGTTAGTTCCCCAACAGTAGTTCCAGTCCTTCACATTTAATATCAATGGCAAGTTTCATTCAAATACTGATTTATTGGAATAATTAGCAGAGATAATAAATCAGACCAAATAGAGATGTCTGTGGTAACCCATTACACCGCCCTACTCCCATATCAAAATTTGTCTCTTTATCATCCCATCAGTGGCCGGTGTTTGACCCCACAAGGGAGAATCGATGCCCAAGCTGGGAGGCACTGAAGGGAATGGATTACCTGCCCTCGTCAGGCTCCTCTGGGCACATCCGATTTGGTACAAAGAGAAAGTTCATATTCCTGGGTGGATCTTGCTGTACATGGAGTAATCCCTTCTCTTCCCTCAGACTAAGAGTCCCTCATTTTGACAAAGAGAAGCCAAAAGCCAAGCAGGCAGACCTGCAGTCCTGGTGGGAACCGTACCGAAATGAAGCCCATGGACCTGTCACTGTGTGATGTGCGAGCAGACCTGACCGTGCTCCTTGCCCAGAGTCATCTGGGACCACAGATGGTGCCAGAAGTGGACACTTGTCATGCTCCCTTGGGCAAACGTGTGAGGTGGTTGGGGATCTGTTCCAGCTGACTTTGGGGTCTCATTAAGACACAAACATTTTCTAACCACGTAGGAGCAAAACCCATTTCTCCTGGTACTTTGATACTCAGCTTTTCTCAACTCCTCTCCCTCTAACGTAGCTCTGATCTTGAGCATTTTCTTCCCATGTCTTTCAAATTCTTATCCCAACTCACTATCCTGTGCCGTCATTCCTGCATCGCTCTCCTTTTTCTTCCCATCCTGCACATTTTGCTCCTCAAGCCATTAAAACCATGAGCTCTCATTCTCCCCAGGCGTGCCCAAGGCCATCAGAGAGCAAAGCTCACACAATGAGCGCTAAAGGTAAGGAAAGGCTGATCTTGACCCACGAGCCTTGCCAGAGTCTGTTTGCATTTCAGCTCTGTGCCAGGTCATTGGGGCTAATTTCAGGCTTGGTGGGGCAATAAACTGCAATCACGGCTGCTGAGTAATGCGGCCATGATGGTGCCTGCACCCATCCCCAAAAGCAGCAAAGGGCAAAGCCCGGCTCGGGCCGGCGGGGTTGCAGGGAGCGTGACTGCGGGGTGAAGGTGCAAACGGGAATGTCCTTGGAAAGGATATTGCTGTCCACCTGGACACTGTAATGCAGTTTCCCACCTCGGTAGGAGCTGAAGATGGTTGAGCTTTTTCCAGAAGACCCTCAAATTATTTCTTTATAAATTTAAACTGTTTACAGCATTTAATTTATTACTGAAATCCTTCTCTCATCCTAACCCTCCTGAAAGCCTGCATCAAATATCCTTCCTTCCCCACTTTAACAGAGCATTCTATGCTGCAAGATTTGCCTGGGGAAATAAAAGCGTAGGGTGCCCTGTTTGGGGTAATAGTCAAGTGTCTGCTCACTGTTAAACAACTCCCCTCTGTAATGACCTCTATGATGGGCTGTATAACAAAGCAAGGTATATTATATTATATTATGTTATGTTATGTTATGTTACATTTATTATATTTATTATATTATATTATATTATATTATATTATATTATATTATATTATATTATATTATATTATATTATATTATATTATCTGGATGCTTAATATACAAACTATATGGTATTCTGCTTAACTATCTTGTTTTGGTGGGGAGGAGAGAAGAGAGACTTTTAAAGTAATAAAACAATCGAGGTGTTTTAAATAGAATTAGTATAAAATCTTAAATTCTTACACAAGGTCAGATTCTCCCATCCTGCTGAGCTCTGGGTCACTGGAAAAGGAAACGCTGCACACCCTGTGCCAAGTGGCTGGCTCTAGCCTTTCATTTCCAAAGGGAATTTAATACATGTAGGCTGCCCTAACACAAGACTGGTAAATGGTCTTCAGAGCCTATAAACATATTCATAATGGCAGAACTCCCTCATGCTTTATGTTCATTGCCTTTCTTATGTAATTACAGATATCAAATAGCTGTGGCTACACAACTTTCTGGGTTTGTATCCGCAGCATCCACCACGTGCAGTTTTGGTGGTGTCCAGCCCGCTGGCCGAAGGATGAGCCTGCAACTACGGCAGCAGCTTTTGCTCATGGGACTACAGAAGGGAGTACCTGTGCTGGACATTGCTTGGCTTTTTCTCAGTGAGGAAGACACCAAATCTCAATTTTAGTGTTTCCACTGTCTGAGGCATCTTTCTGAGGGATGGTGAGTGTCAGAAATTATCTTCTCAGATTATCTTTACCCTGGCAATATGAGGTTTTTCACACAAGCCAACACCAAGGGTGCTAATGAAGACCGAGGAGACCACTTTGGTCTGTAGGGCCTTCCAGTCCTGAAGGTTTCAGCATAAATCTCTTACATGTAAGTGGTGGTAATTCAGTTAAATACCATTACAAGGGGAACAATCAGTTTTTCTACATGAATGGCTTTATCTCATAGAGGGTTTGAAGCAAAAAAACATTTTAAGTAACTGCTTTGATGAAAAACGTGCCCACACATCTGGCTGTTATTTTCCTATGAAATGTGACAGCTGCAGTGGGACATGTCGGGGTGGGATCCTCGTCAAAGCGTGGTCACAGCACCGTGGGGACACCCTATAGCTGCTTCTGCCGGTGTGAGGCTCCCGGGTGCATATTAGGAAGAAGAAGTTGTCTTCCGTTTCACAAGCGATAATCACACCCTCAAAGCGCTGTTACCATCTCCATCTCATGGGCCACCTCTCCTGGAGATGCCAACAGTGTTGTCAAACTATGAAAATGTTGAGGAGAAAGTCCTGCAAATTGGAAAGCAGAGAGTCGTGCTGGTTTCTCTGAACGTGCCGGTAGCTGGGTCTGCGAGGGCTGGCAAGCAGCTGGGGAGGCTCCGAGCCATGGTAGCAGCAGCTTTGCTGGCATCTGGAGATGAGGAGTGGTGGAGAGCACTGAAGAGGAGGATGAAGACAAGGAGAGCAAGATGGTGTGTAGGCACGAACGCTGCTTGTCCTGGTAGTTGGAGAAGGGGCTGGAGGAGAAGCCAGCAGCCTGGTTGACAGCCTGGGAGCTTTCTGTATCCAGTTGCCTGCCTTGCTCAGGCCTGCTGCGGCCAGTGAACTCTTTACCAAACATTTTGGGTTACTGTCCTGGTTTTGGCTGGGATAGAGTTAATTTTCTTCCTAGTAGCTATTAGAGTGCTGTGTGCTTTCGCAGCAGCTCTTTGGCCAGCTTTGCCCTGTCCCCACTAGCTCCTTCATGAGAGAAATGCTGTCCTACCTGGGCTCACATACTTTTCCTGTTGCCCACCTGGTACGTCCACAATCCCCGTGGCCAGAGACTCCTCCGGTTTTTCCTTCTGAAGGCTCTGGTTCAAGACGAGCTGATCAGCAGTTAGCAGTGGTCTCCTCCGGGATCTGGGGTGTGTAGGTACTGATCCTGGAAGCAAAATAAACCAAAACTCACCCTGCCACACTCGGACACATTTTTCTCATGCAGCACTCGGACATGCCGATAAGGCAGCACCGGGAGGTCAACTTGGATGGGCAGGAAAGGACGTGGGTCCCCCATCCCGGGCAGGGAAGGGAGCTCATGCAAAGGGTCGGCAGACCCCAGCCCTTTCCATGCTGAGTGTTTGGAGCAATGCACACCTGCAAGACACAGCTGCAGTTTGCATTCCTTTCTTCCGTGTCTGATTTTCCCCCTCCTCAGCTCCCACAAGCGCTGCCCAGAATGCTCCTTACCAGACCGGAGGTAAGACAGCACCAGCGGGGTCACATGTAAGTGGCTTCAAACAAGAAATTCAGCTCGGCAGGAACAGGATCAGAAACCAACTCTCCTCCCCAGGGCCCAGGGGGCCAGAGCCAGCGGCTCCCTCCCCAGCCCGGGATACCTCTGGCTGCAGCTGCCCCCCAGCAGCCGTGGGGCTGCCCCTGGTCAGGGCACCCTCCTGGCGAGCAGGAGGTGGCTGCGTGATTTATCCCCACCACAAAAGTCAGCAAATGGGGGGGTTTTTCCCCCTTCCAGAAAGTTCAAACCACCACATTATCACAGCGCCACTGCTTCCTGCAGTGCTTGGCAGAGTGGGTCCGTCCCGCCGCAGGGCACAGGGCTTCAACTCCCTCCCAAAATCACTGGGGAGGTGGGGATTACCTCTCGGCAGCTTCCCAGGGAGCTTGGACACCCAGCATTTGCTTGTGCCTGAGATTCTACTTTTGCAACTTAACTTTGCAAGAAG